ACGTCCACGGTCCGACTCTGGAAATAATTATGCATACAATGGACTCAGGACAAGGTGCGTTTCTATAAGTATTCCTTCCATTATGACTAAGTTGCGAAAACAAGGTTAAACAACTTCTATTTAATTATCAACCTTCGCATCAGCTCAACCAACCTAGTGTGCCTACCGGTCGCCTCGAGAAGTAGTTACATGAAAAAAATGCACTGGCAAGGTGGCGCTTGCCCAGGCGCCTCTTCACACTTGGTGCCTTCAGAGGGTCGGTCGGTTTGGTACACATATACACACACGTCGAGAGTACAACCGCGCACTCGAGTCAGCCTCGGTGCCCATCAGACAAGCGCAAAAAGAGGCACCGATCCGGTGACTGGACTCACTCAAACTGTCCTCTCTGTGGGCTTACCGTTGGTGGGTGTAGGGGAGAGGCCCGGTTCTCCGCTGGACGCCTCGCAGCTGACGCAAATTTCCGCCCGCAACGGGTCATGCAGACTCGGCTCCTCTGTCATCGTGGCGAGACGAAGCCGCTGTAACCGACGTAGCGAATCGTGCCAAGCCGAGTAAAGGTATGCCCCTCAGTAAACCAGTTTATACGACGCGATGACAAGGCGTGAAGCAAGAAAGTAAGACTCTAATAAAACCAGACCCCAGCGAAGTAGGGCGGGCCAACAGTTTGTAAGTCTGCCCATATAAGAAAGGGACTCGCCCGAGTGAACGCAGTTCAGGCAAGTTTAAATGAGGCTCTTTGTCTCCTCTCTCTTGCCTCGTACACACGTAGCGCGCACTCTCTCCCGCGGTGTTGAAGCGGGATCAGCCAAGACTGCAATGCCATCGACTGAGGCCAAGTTTACACAAACGAGGCGGCTGAAGGCACACGCGTGTGCGCATGCATGCGTACGTACATATGCCTATTCTTGTGTGACTGTGTGTGTGTGGGTGTGTGTAGGCCTGGGGAACTGGAGGATGGCTAACTCGAGTGGCAGTACAAAGTAGGCTGGGATGCACAATAATCGATCAGTGCCCCGTTTGGCCTTGTGGCAGCCGGTCAAGCTGGCGAAGGGTCCACGCGATCTGTTTTTCCTTCGGGTTACTCGCCGAAACGAGAGGGCTTGCGAGGAGGCTAAGGGTGTGGAGGGGTGGGGGGTGGGGGTGGCGTGGGAAAGAGGGCAAGCTGGAGAGATGAACACGAGTAAGGGCATGCGAGCAAAGTGAGCAAGAGAGGCGAACAGTGAGCGCAAGTGAGCACCCTCAGTGGAGTGGCTCGGGGCCAGTCCGATCGGCTGGCGTTGAGAGAGAGAGAGAGAGAGAGAGAGAGAGTGGCGAACTGCGCACAGGCCAGTCAGACGCGGATCAATTGGCGCTGCGGGGCAAGTGCACCGAAGCGGAGCCCGGGCATCCCGACAGGGTGCGGTGCAGTGGTGGTGTGGGTGACGGGGGGCATTTGGGGACGCCCGGTTGCCCTCGGCGGAGCCAGGCGGGCCGGGCCGGGCCGGGCCGCGCGAGTGCACTTTCTGCTCTCGTCCGACGCGAGTGGCCCGTTCGGGAGTCGAAGCAGTGGCCCGACCGCGTGCCCGCGCGGCAAAGCCAGCTCTGGCCGACGCCTTGGGCCGTGAACGCCGCGCCCGTCGGTCGCGCCGTCCGAGTCGCCCAGTCGAGGAGAGTCGGCGGGACAGGTCGGCGTCGTCGGGTCGTCCGCTGGTGAGCGCGCCGGCTTGCGAGGTCGGCCCGTCCCCCTCCAAGCCTGCCGGGGAATCCGCCCATTCTGTTGCCTCCGTGTTGCCAAACGAACTAATTGCTTTGGAACTAGGAGTGCCTGTTGAAACACACAAACTTCTCTGATCGGGCCATATATTTGATGACTAAAATAGGGGCTAAAAGAGATTACATACGCGAAAAGTTGGGTTTTGAGGACTCTCTTGCTTCGTAATTGTTGAGCTTACTTCCATTTCGAGTGAAAGTGTTGCATGAGGAGATTCGAAGGTCGGTTCTACCGGAAGAGGACGGCGGATTCCTCTTGACCAACTGGAAGATTCATGCTGACGCTGTTGCCGAGGTAATCTCCTTCGATTCAGGTGAAAAGGTGCTAATCTCTTGTCCGTCATATGACGAATATATGACGAACTCAAGAGTCTTATTGACTCGTTAGCTTGAATTTTGTTGTGACGATGATACCTTGCTCTCATGATATTCGTCGTATGACGGACGAAAGCTTAGCATCTTTTCACCGGAATCGAAGGAGATCGCCTCGGAAACAGCGTCAGCATGAATCTTTGAGTAAAGCCAATCGACAGCTGGTCAAGAGGAATCCGCCGTCGTCTTTTAGGGGAACCGACCTTCGAATCTCTTCATCCAACACTTTCACTCGAAATGGAAGTAAGCTCAACAATTTCGCTACTTGGTCATATTGGTAGGAAGACCTAGAGGAGCACACCTATTGCAGAGTCCATAATATGCATGATGATTTGCAGAGTCGAACTGTGCACGTGGTACATTCCCAGACGTGTTGCCAGCATCGCCAGTGAGCCTTGTCATTCTTAGCACGACACTACAACACGTCAGAGACAAATGAATCCGATCCCTTGACCAATTATCTGCTAAACAACTGTGGTTTTCGCTTTCTGCCCTGGGCTATTCAACAATCCTATATCCTCGTATCACCCCTTCACTGTAAACAATTTCTTATTTAAATATGGCGGATTTAATGAGAACTCTCCAAACCCCACGCTGGCTTTCTCAACTCCTCACCCCGGAGTCCTCTTCCCATAGGTCTGAGGGTTAACACTAAGAGTGAAACCATTTTAGCAAATAATACAACTTTTAATTATCTATAATATTCTAATTGGTCCTAATAGGCATTTTTTCATACGCCCGGTTTAACTATTTGAAAAGAAGTTGCTTGACCTGGTTTTCGCAACTTGCGAAGAAAAGTTGGGTTTCGAGGAATCTCTT